AGTGCCCAAAGCCTTAGTGAGTAAATCTGTCATTTAGTGTGTATATGTTCTAGGACAATAATCTTTCTTTCAACTAAGTCTCTGATGAAATGATGACAAATATCAATGTGATTTATTCTAGAATTTTGAACAGGTTTTTTAGATATGTTTATGGCACTCATATTATCACAAAATATGGTAACGGAATCCTAAATAATACCATAGTCATTGAGTATCTGCTTTATCCAGATTGGCTGTGTACAGCAACTACCAGCAACGATATACTCAGCTTCTGCAGTAGATAATGAAATATAATTTTGGTTCTTGCTTAACCAGGAGATAAGATTGTTACCCTCCTTATGTGCTTTTTCTATTATCCATATTTTCTGCCCAATTAGCGTCTGTGTATTCTGCGAAATGACAATTAGCATCCTTATTGTACCATAAACTAAAATTCAAAGTACTATTAATGTATCTAATGACTCGTTTGCAACTATTAGGTAAGATTCCTTTGGTTTAGCTTGATATCTAAAAAGACTCCAACACTAAAAGCTATATCTGGACGGCTTGCGGTCAGGTATAATAGACCGCCAATCATGCTCCTGTACATGTTGGGGTTGATGTCTTTTCTTTCGTCATCTCTACTGATTTTTAGAGACGTGGCCATGGGAGTCTGACGAACTGTTTTCAAGTCCAAACTTCTTGACCAGGTTCTTTGCATACTTGTCTGTGAGATGAAGATCTGCATTAACCTACAAGCCCAAAAAATAGTTTAGTTCACCAACCATACTCGTTTCGAATTCACTTTGCATAAGATTGACAAACTCCCTGTATTTTATTTCAGATGTAGATCCAAAGACTATGTCGTCCACATAGATTTGAGCCATAATTAGATAGTCCTTAGGTGTCTCATGAACAATGTTTTATCAGTTCCTCATCTCCTATAGCCTTTCTCAAGTAAGAACATGATAAGACTTCCATAACAAGATCGGGGAGCTTGTATCAGATCGTGTAGTGCCTTTTTAAGTTTAAACACGTGTTCTGGCAAGTATAGATCATGAATCCCTTGGCTGCTCGACTTAGGCTTCCTCATTTAAGATCCCATTCAAGAATACACTCTTGACGAACATTTGAAATAGTTTGAATCCTAACTGACATGTTATGGACAGCAAAAGCCTAATAGATTCAAGTCTGGCCACAAGAGTCAAGGTCTCTTCAAAGTCTCCTCCTTCAATTTGAAAGTACCTTTGTGCTACAAATCTTGCCGTATTCTTGACAATGTTACCATGCTTATCCGATTTGTTTTTGATTATCCACTTGGTTCCAATAACATTTACATCAGTTGGTCTTGGCACTAGCTCCCAAACATTATTTCGCTTGAATTAAGCCAATTCTTCATGCATGGCTAACACCCATGATTCATTGTTTAGACCTTTAGTCACATTTTTTGTTCAATGTAAGATGTATAGCACAAGTTTCCAAATTCGGTGGCAAATCTTCTTTTGGTTACCATCCCGTCTCTTCGATCAGAGAGTACGTTATCGAGGGGGTGTGCTTTCTGAATTCATGTAGGTGGTTGTTTCCTTTCTTGCTGTTCACGGTCATCTTTTCCAGTAAGTTTGCCCATGCAGTGTTCAGTTCAGGTTCTACAGATTTGGTTGCAGATGGTTCTGACTACTGTTTCCTTGAATGGTCTAAGGAGTTTCAGTATGCTCTTGAATGTTTGGAGTGGCTTCAGTATGTTCCTCCAGGCTAATGATCTCGAGTTCTTGCAAGTAATACGAGAAACCATCAGTATCATCAATTTTAATATTAATGGATTCAACAACTGTTTGAGTTAGGGATGGCAATTCGAATTGTTAAAATCGAAAATCGCGGTTAACCGAACCGAATGGGGAGAAAAAAACCGAATCGATGGTGCAATGTGGCAGTGATGGTTTTGATTTTAATGAACCACTTCATTTAGGGGCGGGTATGGTATTTAGCGATGGTGCACCACCCCAAACCGATTACCCGTTAAAAAAAATTTAATTGGATTTTCCATCATTCTTTCCCAAAATTAATTAGGCTATTTTTACAATTGGGCTTCCCAAAATTCTAGCCCAATTAACATTAAATAAACCAATAATGACTGACCTAACACTATTTATAGTTTTTAACCCAGTCAACTAC